ACATTTAAAATACTGATTACACTTTTAAAACGGACATTTTTTAGAGTTTCACATATTTTTTAACAGGCAAGTTTTAATTAACTTGTTAGCTCAGATTGCCAAGCTATGGATGTGCCAACATGGCTGTTTCCCTGAATCCTCATTGAGGTTCCTTTCTCAAAAGACCATAGCAATCACGGACCCTCTTAAGAGAGAATATTTTGACAACTGGAAAGCATTTTTCCCTTGTGACTTGTGGCCTTATTTGTGCCACAGAGGACTCGAGACAGTTTCTGATGGATGAGCAGGGCAGGAAGCCTGCCCTCTGGCCACCTACCTGAACAAATACCCCTCAAATTAACTTTTGTTTTGTTAATGACAAATCTAGAACAATAAACTACAACTTTATCAAGAGGATGCAGCAACATTAGTCTATTTCTGTTCATTATAATTTAATTACATTTTAATTTGTCATCTATATCTATTTGTGTTTTACATACAAACTAAGCTTTTAAAAAGTTGGAACAATGTGTAAAATCTGAAGGAAAAAAGCAGACTGCAACGATTAATCTTATAAATCTGTATTTTTGTACGATAACAGAACATAGGAAACACATCAAATATGTAAACTAAGCAATTGTAGAATTTGCATAAAAACATTTTGATAAGTTCTAATTCATGTTCAATAATCCAGGTAGAAGATCCAACAAAGTTAAGTCAGGTCCTCTGGATGGTTTCATTTTGTTGAAACATTTCGTCCTTCATCCAAAGGACTTCATCAGTCCGAGGAGCCACAATAAACTCAGTATTATAAATAGCACCTACACATTGTGGATCACCCAGTGTGATGGTGCCCAGATGGTTTCTGTTGTCCGCCCTCTCCTCCGCTAACTCGTTTGAGGCAGTCATAGCCAGTCATTCAAAACGTTCAAAAAGTATAAATATAAATATTGAAAATATTATATTACTGTAAATATTATAATTATAAATATCCGTGTTTCCCCTACTATTATACAAGCTGTGCGCCGCACCTCGCTTACAAAACCGAGCGTCCCGCCTACTGAGCCAAACTGCGCGCAAACCCCACCCCCCTCACACACACCCGTCTGCACCAATGACGTAATGCAATACAGGCGTGCTAGCTAAAGAGCTAAAGGCAGCGCTCACGATGCCTCTTCCGTTATACTAAACCCCACCCCCCTCACACACACCCGTCTGCACCAATGACGTAATGTAATACAGGCGCGCTAGCTAAAGAGCTAAAGGCAGCGCTCACGCTGCCTCTTCCGTTATACTAAACCCCACCCCCTACCCCCAACACACGCTCGAACACTGCCGGTACAAAGAGCTTAGCGCAGCACAACTGTTTGTCTCTGCCCCCCACCGCTTGAAAACTGCAAACAGCGCGCAGCTCTGCTGTGTCTCACCACCCCATCGAAAAAAATCACGGACGAAATGAGTGCCCTGTCATGGCAAGTTATCTAGGGGAAGCACTGAATATAATATTGTAAATATTATATATAATACAACACTGTTTGTGCTGCTGTTCGGCGTATTGTTTTTATGCTTTTAGTGCTTAGTGTATATTTAGTTGATGTTTTTCTTATTTCAAATCTTAGATATTACAGTTTTTCTTTTACATTTTATTGTTGGATGTAACTGGGACCCTGTGTACATAATCTTGTTCCACCACAAAAAACTCTCCGACTCTAACTAAATGCCTAATTGTACATATGCATGCAAAAAGTGCTATTTATCAGACTGAGTTCATGGATGCTCCTCGGACTGATGAAGTCTTTTGGATGAAAGATGAAACGTCTCAATACGAAGAAATCATCCAGAGGACCTGACTTAACTTTGATGGATTGTTGATGAGTTGTTACTTGTTTTAAACCCTCAGGTAGATTATTAAGCATCACAGTTGTGCCAGTTTTATAGAAGTAAAACTTCTAAAATCTATTTTCAGAGGCACAAGTCAATTCTGTACAATCATACCAATTAATTAGCTTATTTTATATATATTAAAATAGAAAAATCGGACGTCCTGCATTTCATTTTTTACCACCGAGTGCAAAAGTGTCACGTGCTAAAAATGATAGCAGCTCCAAAACTCTCATACATCTCTGTGAAAGTATGATAACTAACTGATAGGTCATTCTCCTTCCATAAACATCTAGATAATTGCAAGTCCTGAGGTCCATTGCTTTAACCCCAATTTAAGAGCTTGTACAAAGATAACAACTACATGACATCACCATCACTCTTCATCCAAAAATAAGGGTGGGAAAAATATATTTTCTGGCACATTTATGGTCTCCGCTTTAACAGCCGTAACTTTCTACACATGAACATACAGAAAAGAAGAGGCTAGTTTTAATAAAGTTGTGCAAAGACACATATTTTTGAACAACTTGAGGGTCTCCTGACTGATTAAGAGCTGCAGCTGCACATTCTCCACTCATTTATTTTACATTCGGATCCAACAGGCGTTGAGATTTTTCCCTCAAGTCATATTTCAACTGAGGAAAAGGGAAGAAATCTGGAGCAGGTGTCTTATAATTATTGACAACTATCAATACTGTCCTTCCTACTGCTGTTGCTCCCTCCAGGGCAAACATTAGAGAAATAATGGATTCCACACTGGTTCCCTTTGTGCTGAGGACTGCAACTGAAGATGGACAAATATAGTCCATAAGCCAAGACTGACACACAGTCCAGGCTAATGATAGGCTTCAGCTTTTACTACTCTAAGCACACCGTCTAAAGCAAAGTCAACCAATAAACTGTCACACATGATAAGACCAATGTGGTCTGGGATACAAAACGTAAATCAAAATGTGCAACAAGTGAAAATACCCATAGCTGTTGTACCTGAGTTTACAGTAAGTCTGTAATCAGTCTTATTTACAGACCACAGAAGACGTAAACATAAAGCTGTGTGGAAATATGCAACCCTAGGTGTTTTAAAAGATAATCCACCGCCATAAAGTCATTCCCTTTGAAAACAACGAGATTGTGGGTGCTTAAATCTTAACCGATAAGGATTTGGACGAGATAACAGAAGAAGTCTCGGAGCAACGTGGGGCTTGCAGCAGCTGTCTTCACACAGGACATTTGTACCACTATAAGACAAGCATTGTCTACAAAGACAGGGGGTGCAGTGTGCGTCTGTGTGTACACACATGATAGATTGCATGTGCACTTGATCTTGGCTAAGTGGTGCTTCAGGGCAACGTACGTGGGCACGAGTGCCATTATTCATCGTATTTTCTAGAAGAGTTTTTTAAGTTGCATTCCTGACTTCACAGGGAAAGATAAACTGTTGCACAGAGGAACCTGCCAGAGCAATGTTCATTTGTAACCTCAGATTCAAGAAACACACACCAAACAGATGCTGAAAACTCGGGAACAAGGTGCCCAGTCGTTACTGATAACCATCGATCACCACTGGACAAAAAGCAGTCACAGGGCGAGAGTGAAAACACTATTTGGGAGGACAGAGAGTTGTGCTGTCTGCAAGAAAATCACGTTATCCAGCACGATAAGTGTTGAAGTAACCCAACACTGGAGGTTGGTTTTATAAAAAATGCTCCAAATTGGCTCATTTCCTTAATGAGCTTGCAAACAGGGAATGAACTGTTGTCAGTCTTCCTCTGGCTGGGAAAAGGATTCATTCACTCAAAACCTAATTTGTGAGCTATGGCTTACAAGACAACGTGGAATGTGAGTAATACCTGTCAGTAATCTGACATGGGAATGAAGAGATTTATTTCACGTTGGTTCAACTCCTGCTGAGGAAACATCTTGAGAAAACTATACCGAAAACTGGAAAAGATCTAAAAACGCATTAAAGATAACGCTGAAAAAAACGCAACCTGTTGAACTGAAACACATTACTGAAAGCATATACTTTTTATAACAAAAAACGAAAAGTACTTTCCTGCACAGTAACTGTGTTATATTAAGGCAAAAACCTTTCATCTGCGTTAAAAACAACAACGTAGTCTCCATACGGATGCATCTCGAAACTAAAAGTTGAAAAGGACAGATCCGAGTCTGTAGAAATGAGAACAGCTGATTCACAACAGTGATTTTTAAGGTTTTAGTGTGCTTTGTCTGTTGATCAAGAATCTGTGAGAACTAAACATTGGGCTTCAGTTAGCTGGGTGTAGAAGCTGCTGAATACTTGTGGGTAACAGTGAAGTATGCACATGCATGCCCGATAGCTGATTATTATTAGATCGGTCAGCCGATGAATCGGTCTACCTTCAGCTGACAGACATTTGAGCTTAAACTGACATAAACAATAAAACAGCCTTACTATATGGCACAAAGATAGTGGCTTTAAACGGTAAATTAACTGTATGGCGACTTTCTTTTTTATCAAGACACTCAAAGCTCTTTACAACACAATCTGTGCCCTTAATTACCCACTCTTACAGCACTCTGCTGTACTTTTACAAAGCAGTGCTTCATCACACACATGGGGAGGCGATGAGGGGTTCAGTGTCTTGCCCAGGGACGCGCCGGCGGAATCGAACCACCAACTCTTGCATTGGAGGACGACTGCTCTAACCACTCAGCCACAGCTGCTTTATGCCACCTCACATTTATATAGAACATTTTTGTCTTTTTGTAGCCTAAATTGGCAGAAACAAACCCATGCTTCTTTACTTTACATAGATGTGTTGTAGGAAAAAAAAGACGTTTGTGTTCATTTAAAAGTAATTTTAACAAGTAAACAAACGGACTCTTAATCCACAACATCACTAGTTTGCAAGCACAATAAAATGCACTAAAGTATGGTTTTATTATTAATCTAAATCTCTAGTTTTGACAAAGTGACAGCTGCTTTTTCTCCAGGATCTTCCCAAGACGCACATCTCTGCTCCAACTTCTTGGTCTAATCGCTGTTTGACTCTTATCTCACATTAAAAAATAAACTCCCGAGCCTTCCACGCGCACAGTAACCCATTATGGGCCGGGTAATAAATAAGTTAGTACTTTTATTTTGTACTTACAAGGAAACAGTCCAGAGTGGAAGGTCCAGAGGAGCAGCTGTCAGCTCCAGACTGCCGCAGTCCACCGAGTCCCCGCTGCAGGTACAGTTCTGGGCGCACGCGCCGGAACTCAGTCCATGCGTCGCGAGCAGCTCGAGCGACATTAAATATAAAACACATCGACAAACATATCCTAACCGTCCCAGGGCCGCCGCCATTTTGTCTCCAGTATTAAACAGCGCGGCTGCCGAGCTCTGCTGCTGCCCGCGAATATTAACGGAGCTCCGGGGACAGTAAAAGCTCTTCGAGGCACATTAATTGTCTCGTCGGGGCACGCGGGCTCAGCAGAAACTGTTCTGTTCAAGTAAAAAGGTGTCCGTCTCGAACGAAGACATTTTTCTGACAAGTCCAACTTTTCCCCTTCAGCTGTCCAACCAACCGCCGCGGGTTGAAAATCTCAGGTTATTCACAGACAAATTAAGAAAAATTAGAACCAATTAGTGGCGCTGTAATCTCTGCGAACCTAAAATTCATCAACGTGATTGAAGGGTGTAAAATAGCTGCTGGTGTTCACACCCGACACGTTTAAAAACGGATCAAAAAACAACAACAACAAAAAAAAACAGTGTTTGAACTGAAGACACTTCGTCCGAGTTGCTCTGAGTCGTTTCTCTCCAACAGCGGCACAACACAAACTTGCGATAATGTTGGGAAATAGTCACCACAAAGTTCAACGCGGTGTAAAGAAGTCAGGTGTAAAAAAAGTCCAGCGTTGACAGCGCGCTGCTTCTTCTTCTTCCAGTCCGAATCTGAACAGCGGCTCACCGCATATTAAATATAAATCCAACTCCGTCCCGTCACAAACTCAGCAGCAGCAGTCTGTGGTCACAAAATCTCAACCATCCGATTAATAGCAAAATAGGTTCTCCCCCCTCCTTCCAACGGTGTTGTATCACCATAAGTTTTCGCCTTTCCCGACTTACTTTTCCTTTTTTCTTTGTGATCGCTCCGCAGTCCCACGTTGGAAGCACAACAGTGATTCCAGGCTCCGCCCACAACGCGTTCCAATTGGCCAATGGGATTTGACGGCTGGGTCAAACCCTAACCTGATTGGTGGATTCTGGTTCTCCCCGCTTCGCGGACTCGAGGAGCCCTTGAGCGGCTGTCACTCAGCGGTTACAGGCCCCGCCCACGTTTCCCACCCCTGGGTGTGAAACCGCGCCACCTCCTCTCACTCTCGCTGCTTCTTAAAGACACAATCACCCGGATCAAGCGCTGTAATCGCATTATAACAAGCCATGATAACGTAATTGGTTTGAATGCTCTAATAATTCCTCCATGACATCAACATTTGCATGTAAGAGTCACAGAAAGTAATAAATAGTGTTTTCATCCTATCAGATTTAAAGAAAAAGACCTTCTTGTTTTAACACTTTTAGGGTCATCATCTGTGTAAACTCATAAATATTCTATTTTTGGACACATTTTTTAAACTTTGTCTTTGCAGTATGTTGATTTAGAATATGAGCTTTATAAGTTCTTAAATTTCTTTTATTTATTTATCAGACATTCACTTTGTGGCCAAAATTGAAGCATTTAGTTTAACTTAGTTTATTCAACAATGAATACGTCTTGATTTGATGTCTTAAAGGTTTGAAAACGCACTGTATGTAATATACAATCAAATTACAGCATTTCATTATATATATTTTTTTTATTCTGGAGACAGTAAATAAAAGTTTTAAATAAATTTTCATTTCAAAAGTTCACTCTTTACTTTAAGCTAGTGGAGTACAAATATAAAAAAAGGGGACTATGTTAAAATTGAGTTGCAGTTTGCTGGAAATGTGTTCAAACGTTTGAAATCATCGCTCAACTAAAATGACACAGTGGAAAAGTGGTTAAAGCCATTGCCTCTCATAATGCTTTAGGTTCACTTCCTGCATTCTGAGTTTTCTCCAGGTATTCTGGTTTTCTCCCACAGAACAATTTTAGGTCGAGCAATGCAAGTACGGTTGAAATGATGGTGTAAGTGAAAGAGTGAATGGCTTGTCTCATTTGTCGCTATATGTCCCTCTGAGACCTGTCCAGGGTGTCCCCCACCTCTTGCACTGGGACTGCTAGGAACAAATTCCCCCTTGACCCAGAAAAGAAAAGTAGGTGAAGTGAATTGATGGATGGATTTTAATTGTGGCACTTCAGCGTTTACCTGTTACTGTCTGTGTGAAGGCTACAAATATTTTTAAAGGGAGTGTCACATGCTTTTGCAGACGTGTACAGTTGTGTGTCGTTCTTTTGGATGGATCTCTCCACCATGCGACTGTGGCCTTTAATGGCCAAATGATTGCCCAAAATCCTTCCCAAACGGTAAAATCACATTTGCCTCTAAGTGATGCACATCTGTGATAAATCAGCAGCGCCGTCAGCCTCCTGGCCCCATGGACACGTTTCTCCTCATTGTATTATTTTCCTGGCACTGACAGAGTGTTATGATTGATTTTTGTCAGAGCTATTGTGATCGCTTCATGCTGGGAGAAGGCCCAGGTTTCATTGCCATTAATCACAATAGCGAGGGCGCAGATATTCACACCTGCAGCACTGCAGGCAGTTGTCACAGTTCCTTGTTCCTTTTCCAGTGAACAGACAAAGGGTTCATGTTGCTTTGTGTGTGTGTGAGCACCTTGCCTACAGGTGAGGCCTGCAGCTCAAGAAGGAAAATAGCTGAGAGATGAGACCCTGTTAAAACATGACTGATGGACACTGAGTAAAAGGGGCTGAATCCAACAGTTTGTACTGAATGTGTACGGCTTCAAAGTAATGATCTGTGTGAAGTGGGGTTCTGAGTGAAAGTTAAGAATCCAACAACGTTAAGTCAGGTCCTCTGGACGGTTCCGACAAAAAGAAACCGTCCAGAGGACCTGACTTAACATTGTTGGATTTTTCTGGATTATTGGGCATGAACGTTAATAGAAAGTTAAGAATAGTTAATATCTTACCTGTTGTAGGTAGAAATTTTTAATTTAAAGAGTTTACGTCCAACAGAATAGATGAACTGCTCATTTATAACCTTTTCACCATGGTCAACTTTGCATTGCTCAATTATTTACCAGTACACAAACAATATTTGTGAGTGTGAGTACCAGCAGAAGAGACGAGGCATTTCAAGGGAATCATATTTTTCTGCAAAAAACACCTGCGTAAAATGAAATGTAATTAAGTACGAAGGCTTAAATAACAGAACTTGGACTAACCGCAATGACATTTTGAAAACTGGAGTTGTTTAAAGAAGCAGCAATCGGAAGTGGGCCCATTTAATTGAAATGAATAGATCCGATCCGTTGGTTGTTGCTTCTTACTTTTCACATTTTTTCAGCAGTTTGTGACAGTAAAGTTATTTAAATCTTAGCATCGCAGTCCGTTTTGTGTTAGATGGTTATTTTAGCAGAATGTATTTATCCATGCTGCTGCTTTTTAAACTCACAGAGTTCTAGGTAACACATAATGCAGTAATGATGGTGATTTAAAGATCCATGAAACAATAATCACTTGAACTGCCACAAAACTTTGAGCTGTTTTTAGATGGCAGCAAACCACTATGATCTTTGCCACGTTCAGACTAGCCATTAGCTCATCAGTTTTGTTGGATGTTAACTGTTTTTTCCTAAATGAGGCCTTTCTAAAAGCTACTGGGTAAGATTTTAAATGTGTTTTACTTCTACACAAAAACTTGTTTTAAAGTGGTCAACCTATTCCGTTAAGACATTATTGACTCTGAAGTCAACTTTAGAGGCAACTTTGGGGCAGCTGTGGCTAAAGCAGTCGTCGTACTCCAGTGCAAGAGTTGGGGGTTTGATTCCACCAGCAGTCACATGCAGTCCCTGGGCAAGACGCTGAACACTTCATTGCCTCTGATGTGTGTCCCATCGGTGTAGAATGTGATCTAAAGCACTGATTATTCTTTGTAGAGATCTAGTAGAGTGCTGTATGAATGGGTAAATGAGGACACAGATTGTTGTAAAGAGCTTTGAGTGTCTTGAAATAAGATAGAAAGGTGCTGTATAAGTACAGTCCGTTTACCATTCTCTCCGTGCATGCGTGTTTTTTCTCTGGGTACTCCAGTTTCCTCCCACAGAACAAAAACATGCATGTTAGACTGATTGGTAACTCTAAATTATGTGAGTGAGAGTGAATGGTTGTTTGTCTCGTTTGTCTCTGTGTGTCCCTGTGATGGACTGGAGACCCGTCCAAGGTGTACCCCGCCCCTCACACAGTTATTGCTGGACATGGGCACCGGTGACCCCCGTGACCCAAAATGGAAGAAGCAGGTAAAGATGGATGAATCTGATCACACATTTTGGTTGGATGATAATGTTAAAAAGTATTAAATCGCATCTTATTTAGCAAACACTGAGCTTTAAAGTCTAATGCAGAACCTGTTGTCCACATATTGCTATACACCAACAACAATTCCTTATTAAACCCCAAATTTTATGACAGCCACAATAAAAGTCAGACTTTTTTTTTTTCCATTTTATTTTTTCTAATCTGGTATTTCAGACCATGTGTGTGTTCTGTGCACATCTTCGACGCATATGAGAGGAGGTCCTCCATCAGAGCTATCTAAAGTATGCTCAACCTTACACTTCGATGTTCCTTCAGCAGATACGGCATGCGGACACAGGTACTTTGGAGGTCTATTTCCAGTGGACTGCTGACACGTCTTTAAATTATATTTATTTCATGACTCACCTGCTGTAAATGACTTGGGTGACAAATAACTTTAACTAGAAGTCATTTGCCAAGGTCAGGGTCCAAGGTTATATTTTCTAAAATGATCTTATGTTCAAATTTAACTAATTTTGTTGCAGTTTCCACCAAATTCCAAGAGGTTCAAACTGGTGATTTCTGCATATTACTCCTGAGAAACAGAGCAAAAAGTAATCAAAGATATAAATCCAAAGAAATGTCTGTTTTGTCATTTACCTCGACAGAAGAATAACGCAGCAGGCAATTTGCAAGTTTGATCAGAAGTGGATAATATATGTTCAACTTTAGGACTGAAAATTACTGTAAATTCAAATTTCAGTTTGCAAGTTGCATTTTGCAAAGTTGAATAACCTGCTTTAACAGCATTTTATTTTGACAGTACATATTCTCCCACTGGTCGTGAATGTTGTGTTAACATCTTATTGATTCAATAGAAAATAGATTTTGTTTAGTA